TGAACCGACACAAGACTGAGACAGGACAGGACTTAAATACACTGACAACTAATGAATGAACTGAAAACACCTGGTGAGAAACACGAGGGTGACAGACTAATGAGGGGCAGCTGGGCTGAGACACACAGGGGAACATACATAGAAACACTAGGAAAACCAAGGTGAAAACTGACAAACCATGACAGATAGGTCCTCGGTGTGAGGCTGCTAGCGAGCTATATCCACCCTGTAGAAGTCCCAGAGAAGGGTCATTTAATATTTCTACCTTTGGAACCCAGAGAGGGGTCGATTGAGCTCAAGGATTTTAGCTCACATTCTATATCAGCTGTGAACGGGTGCTTTTGTTTTGAAAATAAACAATCTGAGGTCTATTCATTGCATCAGCTAATCCAGACACACCCACCAAGCCTGATAATATTCTCACTCTGTTTCTCAAGGGCTCCTGTTTACAAGATTTTGATCTGAAGTTGTGGTGTGTTGCAAAGAACACAACTGGATGCCACTGTATTTTCAGAGCTACAGTAAAAATTGTAAATATAGTATCTGATTCAAGTCTTATGTGTGTAGTAAGGTTTTGCCTTTTTGTAATGAATATATCAAATCAATCAGAATAGACTAGGAACACAAAAGTGTGCAAAGGGGGGATTTGTAGCATAAATCAAATCACTCTGAATTGACTAGGAGCAAAGAAGTGTGCAAAGGGGGAATTCGTAGGAGCACAGTTTTGGGCCAAAGTGGGGTATGTAGGGGCATGGTTTTGGGGACAGTTTAGAAAATTTACAAATAYCAAAGGGGGGATTTGTAGGAGCACAGTTTTGGGCCAAGGGGGCGGTATGTAGGGGAACAGTTTTGGGGACAGTTTAGAGAATTTACAAATGGGGGATTTGTAGTGTAGTGGCTGAAGATCCACTTATCAAGATGAAAAATAAAGAGGAGAAATCGATTCTTGGCCAGCCAGAGGGATTTATTTGAGTTCAGTAACGAGCTTCAACCGACAGATCAGCCTTCCACACTGAACTGACGCAGTTAGAAAACCATAAGCTTTTATACCACGTTATCTTTGCCAGGAAAAGGGNAAGGTGAAAACTGACAAACCATGACAGTACCTCTCCCTTAACGATCGTGTCCCGACGATCAACAAGGAGAGGCAYGGAACAAGGGGTGACAGGACAAAACAAACTCAAGGACAAAACACGGAAGTCCATGGGAAACAGTCAGAACAATCATCCCACCCAGGGCAAGAGTCCAGGGGGACGACCAGGAAACCACCCATGGTGAGACCTTGCAGGAGCAGACGCAGAGCCACAGGAGGAGGCAGGAACAGACGCAGAACCCCAGGAGGAGGCGGGGCAGACACAGAGCCAAGGGAAGAGAAAGGAGCAAACGCAGAGCCAAGGGAGGAGGCGGGAGCAGACGCAGAGCCAAGGGAGGAGGCGGGAGCAGACGTGGAGCCAAGGGAGGAGGCGGGAGCAGACGTGGAGCCAAGGGAGGAGGCGGGAGCCGATGAGGATCCATCAGAGGTTGATGGAACAGGAGCCTTGGTGACGGCGAACGCAGGTGACAGAGGGGACGAAGAGGCGAAGGCAGCCGACCCAGGCGACATGGAGGCGACGGCAGCCGACCCAGGCGACATGGAGGCGACGGCAGCCGACCCAGGCGACATGGAGGCGACGGCAGCCGACCCAGGCAATGAGGAGGCGATGGGTGATGACCCAGGCGATGAGGAGGTGATGGGCAACGTGGAGACAATGGCAACCAACCCAGATGACGTGGAGGAGCCAGCAGCCGACCCACGAACCTCAAGGATTGCCGACTCAGGAGCCCCGATCGGAACCGCCGACTCAGAGACCACTGACTCCAGAACCACCACCGGAACCACCGACTGTAGATCACCCGAGACCACCAACTCGGGAACTGGGACCATTGACTCAGGGAACACAGAAACGGACTCAGGAGTGGTCTCTTCAGTGAACACAGTAGTGAACCCAGCGGCAGGAACAGCCAGGTCAGGCACAGAAACCCCCAGAAAAAAGACAGGGGAGGGAGGGTGGGTGAAAAAATCCACCGAGAACCGCTTCTCTCAGAGTGGAGAACCCCGAGAGAAGGGCAGCTGCCTCAGCCAAATTTTTCCAAATCTCAGTCATGTCAAAAAAATTCTTGCCTGCAGGCTGGATACTTGGTC